TGTTTCGGCGCCATATGACCTGAACTGTGTTGGTGCGCCGTAAAACCAAGCAAACAGTTTTCAAGTTGCAATCTACTCACCACTTTGATCATCGTCGGATACCCACGGCCGAACCATTAACATTTATCAGACTAGTTTACGATTAATTTTATTGCATGTTATGTGACATGTTTATCAATCGTGGGTATCCGACGATGAACTTTGATATGTGTCTTCCTCTTTTTACTGCCATGAATATACAGATTACAAAATGTGTAACTTCTTTTCTGATGACATTTACAAAAAAAGGATTGTTACTTTATATAAACGGATTAGAGCTGTGAATTATGCACATATGGTTTACACTCTGGCGAAAAGTAAACATGTGGTTCGCCAAAGCCTTCTTTACACTGAGCTTAGGAAGGTTGCAGTTTGAGAGGAGCGGTGCGAGTGACCACAAAAACACATCACGACGTAATCTTTGGTGAAAAAAAAAATGACTTAGTACCAATCGGCTTTCGTTTGGTTCACATTCGTCTTACCTAATAATTAATTATAAATAAACATGTATGAGTAATATACGAAATATTTGCATCAAGTTTATCCTATTACAATATGGTGTGTAGATCAATGAAAGGGATCGTCATTATTTTCCCGTGAAAAAAGTGTCAAGTGTAACCATTGATTGTGCATATAATAGCCATGAAAACACACCCAGAATGAGTTTATAATTACAGTTCAATACCCATCATTCATTAAAAAATATACACAATACGTTGAACTGACTACGCAAAAAATACTGATTCGTTATAGGCAGACGGTGCCAGGGTGTGTGGACAAGCAGTAACATTGCCGTCCACGAACAGGCTCAATCGAACCGAACCTGTAACATTTTCCATTTTGCCGTTTCGGTCGTTCTTGAGAGATTCCTTTTTTATTTTCTACTGGCAATTTCATGACAAATAATAAAATATGTTCATTTTGTATAAATAATTACCTAAAACAATTATCTTATAATGTTTTATTATTATTTTTGTAATGAAAGTTTAATGTTTTTGAGAATATATTGGACATAAAAACAATGTTAACGGGTAATAACATAACAAATGCATAGAAATATTATCAAGTTTGATATTATTCCATTAAAAATGTGGTTTTTGGAGCACAGGAATCATAAAAAATGTAGTATTATTGTTATTATAGCATGTGGTTTTCACATCAAGCATTTGTAAAGAGCGGAATAAAATGACCACAAAACGTAATCTTTGGTAAAATATGGTTTAGTATATAGGTACGGTTTATAAAAACTTACTATAGATGTATGGCAAATAAAACTCAAATGTGTACGGCATGATTAATATCTTGCAAGATGGTTTTCTGAATAATTTTTTCAAGATTAATCATGTGTGTTTAAAAAAATACGTAAATGATTTATAAAAATACTGCGTAAAAAATAAAAATGTTGGTATTTGTTAGAATCTATTAAAATGCATAATTATGAGAATACATATGTTCGTGGGAGCTATATGTAATGACCACAAAAAGACAACAACAACTAAAAAGGAACAAAAACCTACAACATTTTGACAAAACCTATGGTAATAAAGGGTTTGCCTATTTGTTACGATAGCATTTCGCATTTAAAATATATTATGAATAATAATATTATATTATAAATAATAATATGCATGTAATATTCTTCTTTCAAACAAATGTGTTGATTCTGATAGTAGCATTGAGTTACAGACAAACTCTAACAACATATGCAGTAATCAAAAATAATTTTAAGCACGCTATTATTTGATAGGGTGATAAATTGTGAATACCATGTTAAAAACACCACAGGATTTAAAGGGGAAAAAATAGCAATACAGAATGGATAGGCCTACAACCTTTTTTTTTTTTTTTTTTTTTTTTTTTTGATAATTTGCATTTTTTTTTTCGCTTAAAAGTCGTGTGGTTATTCAAATAGCATGTTGGTGATACGTTTTTTCGTCTTGAAAATTTGAATAACTTGTACATTACTAGAGATACTGAACTACCATGCTTGAACAATTCAATGTACACGACAATATGATTCAATTTACAACCCTGTAATTACAAAATATGTGCTTATTACCGGAAGAATGCTGAGTTTCAAAGAACGCAACCTTCTGCAAATTTGAACGTTATTCTGTAGGAACATTCTGGGAAAGGCTTAATCTAATGATGTTAGAACTTGTTGCCGACCTATATGCTTGAAGTTACAAGCATAACATTGGTATGTTATTTTATAATATGAATATACTGAAAAAATAAGTTTCAACTGACTAAACCCTGCTGGAACCAAAAGTGATTGGCCTTTGTTTGCCACCAGCTGGACGCCAGGCCAGATTGAAAACCGAACTGTCTGGCCAAGGCTGAGTAACTTAAAATTTTCATATTGATTTCCCCCAAAAAATGAAAATGGACAGTTCAATAAATGTCAGCTGCATGGACAAGACCATTTCAAAACATCATCAGGTGAGGGATTAAGTATTACTGCAGCAGTTCCGGAAAACACAGATGATGTTATATTCCGATTCAATTTCCAACAAGTATAAGAATACGTTTAGGTAATCAAAGTTATAATGCTTTGACTAACGCGTAAATCTAAGGCTCAAGAATCAGATATCTTGCTTCTTTTGAATTTATTAATATATTTTAAAATAACTAACATAGGGTATAAATTAAGTTTTGCGAGTATACGTATGTTTGCGGTAAGTAAAGTAAATATACGTGTTTCCAACAACGCAAACATCATAATGATAATAACTTCTTCAATGTTCATTATATATAGATGATAAAAAAAATTACATTAATATGTAAATACTTGTAAATACTCATATGAAATATAAATCGTATTTTAATTGCGGGACATAATGTGTTAGATTCACTCGATAAGTATAGTCAAATTGTATACATGTATAAAGGCAAACATGTAGGCCAGTGATGAAATGGACTGACGCTTTTTGTCAACTCGTTGAAAACAATATATTAGAAGATTTTGTTTGCAACATCTACACCAACTTAAATAGAATAGGCCGTTGATGAGAACTTTTGTAGTATCAATGGCAGACACATTTTGTTTCTAATTTCATCGAAATATTAGAATTTTAGTACAAATATCAGTAATGTTGCCGACCAATGTGATCTTTTAAACAATTTTTCAAACTGCAAACACAGAAGCTCAAAACATATACGTGATCGCAGCAACTATATGCGCCAAACTTTGATGACGAAAAAAAAGAGGATTGTGCATAAATCATTCTTCTGTCGGTTTTTCAGGTCACATCTGAGGTTTGAAGTCAATCCTATGAAAATAGGTTTGTCCAAAATTAACTTAAAAATGGCGTCGAAAAAATATATTTTTCTACAAATCAATGTCTAACCTTAAAATGAATTATATTATTTTTACTTACTACTGGAGCAAAGTCCTCCACAATCAATTTCTTTATGAACTGAAGACATATCTGTATTTGATCTTCTATAACTGTTCACTGGCAAAATTTAGCAATTATTGAACAACGCTTATTTTCAAAACTTGCTGCCCGAACCAGCACATCTGCGCATGCGCAGTCCATCGACAGATGACGCATGCTTATAAAATTTTGTTGTTTTATGTCTTCTGAAAAGCCACCAAGCAAGCGACCTCGTGCGTTTATACTTGAAAGAGATGCTTTATGTGTGAATTTCTACATAAGAATTTTTTACCTGATATTTCAAGAGTGATGTCGTATCTATGGGCGCAAACATATCATATACAAGATGGGAAATCTACTAGTTATTGTAAATTACTTTTTTCTTCGTCTAAAAATATTACCTAAGATGCCTATGTGATTAGAAATACCTCACACTTCTTGTTTGATGTTTGAAAGAAAAGATGTACGAATTGAAATATATTTTTGAATGGCGGCATGGCACTGTGATTAACGCGTCGGACTAGTAATTTAAAGGATTGCTGGCCGCGTTGGTTAAAATTCGATCATGGGTAAGCCGTTGCTTCCATTAGCAAGAAACCTGACACTCATTGCTTGTTACTGATTGGTTTCAGAAACGGATTCGAGAGTGTTTCAATAAGCTAATAGCTTCCAACAAAGTCGAACTAAAATACATTCGTATAAACTACATGTATTTACCAAGAGAAAATAAATCGGCGTAGGTGTATTTTCTTTCATGTATATTTTCTGATGGCTCTTGTCGATCTAAACCATACTAAGAGGGCTTTGTCTTCGCCATCCGGTGTGCACCAAGTATACTTGATGTTTATGTGTGTCATAGGCCTATACTGTACATATTAATTAGGCTTATTCATAGACGCCATCGGAAACCCATACCGACGACTTATTTAAAAGCTCACTCGTTATTTATTGCATGGGAGTTTGTGCAACGGACATATAAAAAGATATATTCCTTTCCAGAAGAAATGACCACTTCTTGCAATATGCAATATGCAATGTGTAGAAACAACGTTACATAGTACCTCCGTTTTAAAAGTCTCATCTGAAAGATTTATTACTAATTCCATTTCAAATTGCGGGATGGGTTGGACAAGAAATGTGGTTAGATAATGGACCACTTTGTTTGCATTTTGAACAAGTAGCAGAGGCTGAAATTTCAACCTAATTATTGATTCAAAACATTTGTAACTAGACAAACTAATGTCAAAGGCGTGTATATTAAATTTATACAGTCTTGTGCTAAGGTATTATCAAAGAAAATGACTATTTATTTATTTATTTTGGTAAAAAGGTCTTCAATTTGACCTTTACAAAAATATTTTTTAACAATCTATTCAGTCTAAATTCATAAGAGTGGGTGCACAGCTTTAAAGCGGCTGTATAGTATCTCAAAGTCTATATATTGTTGAATTTTTTCTCATTGTTTTTTGTTTAGATCGAAAACTACTTTGTTTTGCATTCACCAGTATCCAATTTGATTTTAGCACTCTTACACCCATTTTTATTTGAATTTAGCAGCTTTTAGCTATTTTCACGTTAATCGAATATAACAGTGTCATAAATCATGAACGTGTAGGCGCTTTAGCAAAATGTAAACACGACTGTAAATTTTATCATCTTTTATAATCTTGAAAGGCTTTCTTACCCTTTTATGCCTATAAAATGTTAAATTATAATATTATTTACATGTCAATTTGATGAGGACTTGTAAATTTTACTCTTCAACTTGTATAAGTTTACCGTTGATATTTTCTGTTAATCTGAATTGATGAGCGCTTATTAATTTATTGAGTGCTTTTAGTTCCTTGTTGACAATCATACTTTATTATCAAAAACATTCCTTTTTACTTGATAAAATGACAGCAGAACATAAACAAATATTTTTTCAGTCCTTAAATGATACAGAAGGTAACAAGACAACTCACCCCCAGACGATTCACCCCCCAAAAAAGCAAGACAACTCGCCCCTCAAGACAGTTCACCCCCCAAAATAGATAAGACAATTCACCCCTCATAAATGATAATCATGTTTATGGTTAAAAAAGAATAAGAAATTCAAGATATTTATTTATTTTTTTTTATTTATTACTGTAACCAAATTTATATTCGCGAATACAAATTTTCGCGTTTTGCCGAGGTTGGACATATTCGCGAATATTAATTTCCGCGTTTTCTTGTTTGCGGATTGGAAAGTCCGATGGGGCCGTAAAATCCACTAGCCGACTATTAATCTTCAATAATTGAGGTCATTATTAGTGTCTAGAATGGGATTAACAATATGCTAGCCTTATATATTGTATTGGTAAGTGAATTGTGATCACAGGCGCTTGTCACATAATCAAATATTTTACATAATCGGTCTATATATGTATATAAAGATATCTTTATATACATATATAGACCGATTATGTAAAATATTTGATTATGTGACTAGCGCCTGTGATTGTGATCACAATTCAGCAAAACATGTTCTCTATATTTTTTATTTATATGTGTACATGTACGCATCGTTCGTCTTCATTTCTTAACATGTCGTTAAAAGGGCAGGTATCACACTATTATACTTTGTTTTTCTCGACTAATAGTTTTCTTTCCTCTGTTCCCTTCAGACGTGTGAAAAACACAAACTAGACGATTATTGCTCAGTAGCGCGTGTCATAATGATGATTATGTTGGTAACATGTTTAGCTGTTTTTATAAAGTTAATCTATTTAGGGTGTTGATTGACTTATGTCCAAAATGAGTGAATTATACGTTCTTTATAAATATTCGCGAACACTGTATCAATTCATTATGACTTTAAATGTAAATGAAATAGTGATTGGTATATTGACATAAGAGTTCTTTTGATATTTATAAAATAGTAGTAGTTTACTTAGTTTGTGTTTTTATTGCTTATGGCAATATTCATAACAATTCATTACTTCCTAACAGGTGCCCGTAAAATTCGAATATATCCGGTCAAGAAGCTTTGGATGAACAACGTCTAAAATAAAAATTTCTCTCCCAATTTATTAGCGAAATCCTGCGGACTTATTCGCGCAAACAAATATTCGCGCTTCGTGGCCATCCGCGAATAAAGCGAATATTAATTGGTCGCGAATATTCGTTGGGTTACAGTATGTCATATTTACAAAAATATAACTGTATAAAAGCACATATACCATGATGTATACAACAAAAAAAAAATAATTTATTCAATCAAATCAAGTTTATATTGAGGGAAAGGCCCATAATGTATGCATTTTTCATAGACATATTATCTATCATTTTTCAAAGAGTCTTGATATTTTTATTGTATATGATGCAAACATGTACAACTGTTTAATTATCCATTATCTTAAAGTGTTGAAAAACATATTGTCTATTCTACATCCACTTTTTTATCATTGCTTGATTGTCACTTCAACAAAATATCATGAAGAAGAAGTACATTGTATCATTTCTTTTTGGGAATATTGTAAGATTTCAAAATGTAATTTTATGTCATTTAAGTATAAACTATAATCGGGACGTTTGGGAAATATTGCATGATTGTCATTTCATGTCATTAGCACATATAATGGGGATTAGTATCATTTGGGTTTGGGAATATTACATGTCTCTGCCAGGAATCTATCTAATCACTAGTTATCACTTCACTTAACAATTCGTCCATATATTTGTAATTTTTACAGTTTGCAGGGCCTAAAAAGCTATCTTTGTAGAGGTCGAATATAGGCTGCTTCCCCAACCAAACTAGCCTCTTTTTTTCCCAGTTTGATCCTCAAAATTCCCCAGTCTTTAAAAAATTCCCATAGAATTTAGAAAAAATTAAATGATGGTGTTGAATTAAGGTCTTTTACTGCCTTATTTGTATTTCCCAGTGCATTTTGCTTGTCTATTTTGAAGAACTTGTTAAAAGTTTGTGTAAAATTTGAGACCCCTTTACCCAAAGTATGCCCAAATCACGCATTTTTATCCCCAAGAAAAAGGCTAAGGCCCCTTCCCCAAACTTGGTGTTTTGGCCCTGGTTTGTATGTAGATAATATGTAAAAATATTAACACATAGTAACAAATATTATTTTTAAGTAATAAATTATAATAATTAATTTAAATATGACTCAATATTTTATAAATATCAATTTAGTAAAGAAACACAACAAAATTTGTTTATTGTAAACATCTAATTTTAAGATGAATTTCATCAAAATTAAATTTAAGAAAATGAGGGGTGAATTGTCTGTGTCATTTTTCCAATAATGCGGGGTGAACTGTCTGATGGGTGAATTGTCTGGTAAAAATGGCTTAGGGTGAATTGTCTGGGGGGTGAGTTGTCTGTAAGCCCTACAGAATATCAGAATTGACCAGACATGCACTAAACATTAAAAAAATTGATTAACATTTTACTTTACTTGGAAGTCATCATCAATCCTGCATTTTTTCTGACAACCTTAAGTTAACACAGTTTATATTAGTATTATACATTTCTGTTCAAATTGGAAACAGTAACTTTCATAAAAATATTGTTGTCTACAATAATTTATATTTTATTTCAGAAATTATCATGATGTTCCCAAACCAGTGACAAAATGAAGCACCATGTGTGGTAACGACTGATTTATTATAATATTGTATCAATTTATTCAGGGAATATACCTTTTATACAGTACGTACGTATTGCCCAATTATGCCACAGCCTGTGCAGACAAGTGAAAGTTTTCAAGAATTTACTAAAATATAAATATGATACAGAGAAGTTAAAAAAGGACAAGTAAGTCAAAATCAGATTTCAGGGTTGTGAATGTGGTAAGTGTTCCGATCAGATATGAATGAAGTCAGTACATGATACAATATTCCTTGCAAATTTTTGATATTATTAAAATAAATTTAATTTTTCGTCATTACAGCATGGTGTCAGATTTTTTTTACCCAAATCAAGGTGGAGTTGAGAGTCATATTTACCACCTGTCACAGTGCCTTATAAACAGAGGTCACAAGGTCATCATTGTAACACATTTCTATGGTAGCCGCAAAGGTATACGATACCTTGACAATGGACTTAAGGTAAGTTTATTACGATGCTTGCCACTTGGCCCTCACTGCTGTGGGTTCAAATCAAGATTCTTTCATGTGAGGAAGTTATCCAGCTTGCTTACGAAACATTTGTGGTTCTACTGAGATACCTGTTCATGCCTGAAATAATACACAGAAGGGCACCTGAGGTCTTCCTCCACCAGTAAAGTTCGAGAGTGGCCATATGACTTACCGGCATACTGTGTGGGTGTTAAGTAATTTAAGTAAAACACAATCAAAACAAATATTTCTTTAAATGCTCAGGCTGCTCTGGATCCATGCTGGTCGCAAACCCATTATTTGTTGATACCCGGCTCATTTGTTTACAATATTCATTGTTTTGCAGGTGTATTATCTACCATTTCCAACAATGTACAATCAGTGTGTATTACCCACAATACTAGCCACATTCCCGCTACTCAGGAATATATTTATACGAGAAAATATCACCATTGTTCATGGACATTCTGTAAGTTATTGTGGCTATTATGCCTCAGTCTTTACTCATGTTTTTGAAAATTTCTTTTTTTTTCTGATTTATTATTTGTTAAATGCTTAAAAGCCCATTCTGCTGTCATTTTTATTTTTGGAATCTTATTACACTTTTCAAAATATACTCATTTTCCATTATTATACATAAATGTTTAGCTGATTTTGTTATGTTGGCAATTGGTATAATTAAAGTGAATTAGTATTTTGTATGAAAGTCAAAATACTACTTTATTAAATTACATTTTGCTACCTTTACAAAACATAACTGCACCTTAAGCCTTACTCTTCAAATGTTAAACATGACTTATTCAGTTCAAAAAAATTAAAAAATATGAATTTTTGTGGCATAATATGCCAATAATAAAGCATATGTTATGTCTGTGTCATAAATTTGTCCTCCTTTGAATTTAAAGGGTATCTGTGGCTGAGTGGTTAAGGTCGTTGACTTCAAACCACTTGCCCCTCACCGCGGTGGGTTCGAATCCGGACAGGGACTTTGGATTCTTTCATGTGAGGAAGTTATCCAGCTAGCTCACGGAACGTCGGTGGTTCTACTCAGGTGCCCGTTCGTGCCTGAAATAATGCACAGAAGGGCACCTGAGGTCTTCCTCCACCAGTAAAGCTGAAACGTCACGATATGACCTATACTGTGTCGATGTGAAGTAAAACCCAATCAAACAAACAATCCTTTGAATTTTGAACTGTTTATTTTTAGTTTAAGCTACAGTTTGCCATTTGTACATCTTTTGGGTATTTTTTCGATAATTGCAGAAAATATTTCAAATAAATACTGTCTTGTTCATTTAATACATTAATTTTGTTGAAGGTAGTTAGAATATCAGGAAAGTGTGTAAATAATGTAAAACACATAAATATACATTTAATATAAATAACTATACCTAAAAATATCTGTCTTGTTATGGGGGTTAGCATTTTTAGCTCGACTATTCGCAGAATAATCGAGCTAATGCAGTCACCCATTTGTCGGCGTCGGCGTCCCTGTGGTTAAGTTTTTGTATGTAAGCTGGTATCTCCATAACTACTGAAGGGAATGGATTGAAACTTCACACACTTGTTCTCTGTGATTATCTAAGATGATTGGCACAAGTCCCATAACTCTGATTTGCTTTTTTTCATAATTATGCCCCTTTTTCGACTTAGAAATTCTTGGTTAAGTTTTTGTATGTAAGCTGGTATCTCCATAACTAATGAAGGGAATGGATTGAAACTTCACACACTTGTTCTCTGTGATTATCTAAGATGACTTGCACAAGTCCCATAACTCTGATTTCCTTTTTTTCATAATTATGCCCCTTTTTCAACTTAGAAATTCTTGGTTAAGTTTTTGCTTGTAAGCTGGTATCTCCATAACTACTGAAGGGAATGGATTGAAACTTCACACACTTGTTCTCTGTGATTATTTAAGATGATTGGCACAAGTCCCATAACTCTGATTTGCTTTTTTTCATAATTATGCCCCTTTTTCGACTTAGAAATTCTTGGTTAAGTTTTTGTATGTAAGCTGGTATCTCCATAACTACTGAAGGGAATGGATTGAAACTTCACACACTTGTTCTCTGTGATTATCTAAGATGATTGGCACAAGTCCCATAACTCTGATTTGCTTTTTTACATAATTATGCCCCTTTTTTGACTTAGAAATTCTTGGTTAAGTTTTTGCTTGTAAGCTGGTATCTCCATAACTACTGAAGGGAATGGATTGAAACTTCACACACTTGTTCTCTGTGATTATCTAAGATGATTGGCACAAGTCCCATAACTCTGATTTGCTTTTTTACATTATTATGCCCCTTTTTCGACTTAGAAATTCTTGGTTAAGTTTTTGTATGTAAGCTTGTATCTCCATAACTACTGAAGGGAATGGATTGAAACTTCACACACTTGTTCTCTGTGATTATCTAAGATGATTGGCACAAGTCCCATAACTCTGATTTGCTTTTTTACATAATTATGCCCCTTTTTTGACTCATGAATTCTTGGTTAAGTTTTTGCATGTAAGCTTGTATCTCCATAACTACTGAAGGGAATGTATTGAAACTTGAAGAGTTTGTATCTTTTCGGACAATTTTATGTATTCATATAGGTAAGCATTATTATACTCAATGAAACACCCTTGTGACAAATTTTCGAATAGTCGAGCGTTACTGTCCTCCGACAGTTCTTGTTAGTCTGGTTTTAGTGCCTTTTAGATACAAATAACTTTCCAAAACAAAGTACATGTATAAAACTGTTAAAAAAAAAATACTTGTCTCATTTTTGAGCTATATTGTTGCAAAAAATTTAAAATGTTATGCTTGATTGTAATCTCAAGTTGAGAGCATTGTTCACTCTTTTCTAGTTAACTTGTTACTATATTATGATGTGAAGATCACATGGTAATGTCTACCCTATTGTCGGTAGGTCAGGTGGCAAACACTATATATGTAAATGCCTATGAATAACAGTCTTCTCTCGCAAAAAAAATATAAAAAAAGAATAAATAAATACAAAATAAATGGAGAAATTAATAGTCAAAGTCTTTAAGTTAGAGTATGACATATAATCTACAATACTTGGGAACGTGGTGGAATATTACCATATATTTTGCTGACCGGAAGCACCTATAGTATAAGATCAATAAAAGCAATGTATTTCTTAGATATTAACAATCCTTTTCCTTTTTATGTATATAATTAAATACATACACAATTATCTATCTTTTGTTTTACAGGCATTCTCCACAATGGCTCACGAGGCAATGTTTCATGCCCGCAACATGGGGTTAAAGACAGTATTTACAGACCACTCATTGTTTGGCTTTGCGGATGCAAGTTCAATTCTCACTAACAAATTGCTGAAATTTTCCCTCGCAGACTGCAGCCATGCTATTTGTGTATCCCATACCAGGTCTCATAGTTTTCTTATTGTAAGGTGGCTGAAATATTCATCTTAATTCTGGGCTTGTTACTATAGACATCTTTAGATTTTGTTTATACAATTTGTTTAGTTCAATTGTGTAGGAAGCTATAAGCTTATAGACACACTCTAAAATTTGTTCCAGGAACCAACTACTACTAAGCAAAGAGCGTAAAGTTACTTGTTGAAGAAAACAAGGGCTTGCCCGACAGGGTTGAACCCATGTAGCTAGTGATCATTAGATTACTTGTCTTAAACCATAACCATTCTGCCAGGCCATAAATCTAAATATTTTTGGTTCATTCTAATTATTTAAGAATTATGCCAAATATTAATTATTTTCATGGAAATTTGCTGACTTAAGCTTAGCTTGATGCTTACATAATAATCTCTGTATGCTAGAAATGTTAGAAAAAAAATGTTATAATGTTTGAAAACACCAAACTGTGTTAGCTTGATATTTGTAGGAGGATTGGCAAAATTTTATTTTGATTCACTAGTCTGTTTTACCTTAAGCATTTCTTTACCTGTCCGTGTGATATTTATAAAGTAGATTCTGGAAAGAAGTCCACTTCTCCATACAGGCTGGGTTGCAAACTAACCAATAATTTAAGGACAATTGATTTTGCCATACCTGGCCAGAAATTTATAATAAAATTACAGGAAGAGATTGACTTTGTGATGATGATTCTAAAGGCTAAAATAACATCTGTCAATACAGGAAATCACTAGATTGCTGTGAAAACCTGCTTTCGTTCAAATTTGACCGATATTTTAGAAATTTTGCGGTTGAGATAAGACCACCGCTTGAGCCTTTCTACAAAGTTGGCATGTTTATTTTATGTCTAGACAAGCTGTATACATTAACCTGGCTTACCGTTTCAGTTTTAGAGAAAATAATCATCAACCAGTGCATCCTAACCACAAATATGCAACAAACACGGTTTTCTAAACACTGGTTTTGATGTGATATTAGAAATAATGAATGTTAAGTTATATTTCTGTATACGTAACTGAAGATTGGGGTGAAGAGGTTTTAATATGGAATGAAATAACACAGCCTGTTTCTTATATGAAAGGATTTTAATGAAATGTTTTAAATTCAGGGGGGATATTTTATGGTTGTTTGACATATAACTCATTTGCTGACAGCATGAAAACCACACAAAAGAAGAAGGCAATCCAGTGTTCACATAACATGGTTATTACTCATTGAACTTAAAGTAATAGATACCACAGTGTTGTATTTACTACTTAGATAATGAATAATATTTATATTTTGTATGTTAAGGTACACATAGGTCTTCAGTCTATTTTATTTCTTAAACTATTCATCTAAACTTGCATGCCCTAATATACATGAACCTATTTTGTTTTAAAAAATTCAAATTTTGGAAGAAAAATAGTGCAGCTATTGGCATGACCCTCTTGTCTGCGTAAGTGTTGTTTAACCATTTTGTAAAGGGCCATTTACTTAGAAATTAAAAATGCTATTCACTACAAACTATCCAGCATTGAGAAAAGTGGAGCCACCATTCGCAGGCAGGTTTTCCTCCATATTTCACCTCTGTTACTAAGTTGTTTTTTTTAATGACATGCTTAATGTAAACTTTTTGATCTTAAAATCCAAAGGCCACCTTTATTTGCATTTTAACATCAATATTACCTTTGAAAACATTTACTTGATATTTATAAAAGTCAGCATGAATCTGAAAGTCACTGTATATGCTGCTTTGAATTAAAAATTGTGCTGAGTCAGCAAGTTTTTTTCTTTCAAATTCAGTACACCTGTCTATGAAGTAAGCAATGTAACATAATGTTATCCAAGCAATTATTTTGTCTGAGTTGTTTATGTTTTCAGTACAAAACTTAGCTGTATGAATTTTAAGCTTGTCTGTTTCGAAAGAAAAGTTGTGCAATTAGGATCGCTGCGGCGGCCGTTTCGTCAAAATGGAACTTGGAATACTTGTTTATCATGACAAGGCACTGTTATTGGACAAAGGGACAGTATTCTGAAAATAATATTTTAGGAGTTATGTCCCTTTTTATCTTAAAATATTAATAAAAATCGGTTATTTATAGTCATACCTATTAACAGATGAGCGTTAAACACCACATATAGTGCTCTTGTTTCACTGTTTGTGCCACTTAAAATCCAAACCAGAAAAAATATGTTTATATTTCAGTAAAGAAAATACAGTGCTGAGGGCTTATATCAAGCCAGATCTGGTTTCTGTTATACCAAATGCTGTTGATGCAAGTATGTTTGTACCAGATCCATCCAAAAGACAACAAGATAAAAGTTTGTATATTAATTTTAACTTGAATAAAACCACATGAACTTTGTTTGCTAAGTTGTGGTAAGATAAGAAAATATAAATTATTAGTTTTCCAGCACTGGTTAAAGGGATGTTTGCTGATATTGTAAGCAAACTTTTCTTTTATCTTATAATCTGTTGAATTTATATAATGGATTCATCCTATTTTGTGTTGAAACAATCCATTTGAATACCATTATTAAATTACAAAAATGAAGTAGTAGTGACCCAAACTACACAGAAGTGTAAGTGGGTAAGCGTTAAAAGAGGTTTTTTTTTTAAAAAAAACGACTCTTACTAAGCACCCAAAAAAATAGTATATTGATAGAAAAGAACCCAAACAAAAATATTCTTAAAATATTTTAAATGTATTTAAGCATGGCTTCTGCACATGTGCTGTTTGATTTAATGAATTTTTTCAAATATTTTTTTTTCATTGGTATGTTTCATATGACACTATACAAACATAATTTTGCTAACTACAAGCAATCTGAAATAGTTTTATATCCTTTAACCTAACCTTATTAATGGAACAAAAAGTAATAAGCCTTTGCCAGCATTATAGAGCTAGGCCAGTTTGTACAATTTGACCAGACTATACTGTTGGCAGCGCAATTTTAGTAGTGTTATATTGATACCCTTAAATTGTTATAGATTCAAATCATGTTGAATCCATAACACAAATTCTGTAGGTCAATGGTATACCATATAAAATTACCTATTTACTAACAAGAAATTCGGGAGCGTCCATGGTTGAATGGTTATGATTGTCGACTTTAATTCACTTGCTTCTCACTGCTGTAAGTTTGATTTGTGACAATGTTTTCGAATTCCTTTATGTGAGAAAGTTATCTGGCAAGCTTACAGAACATCGGTGGTTCTACTCAGGTGCATGTTTGTGCCTTAGATAATGTGCAATGGGGCATCTTAGCTCTTCCTCCACCAATAAAACTGGAAAGTTGCCATATGACCTATAATATGTTGGTGCAATGTAAAACCAAAACAATTACAAAAAATTCAACAATAGCAAGCCTTTAATAGAAAAATCCTGTTTTTTTTATCTTTATCAATTCCCTTAAGATGTGAACACTAATATTTTATCCATTTGTATTATCAGAAAATTCATTTTAACCACATTAAAATTTCTTTTATCATAATTCATTATCAATACTTAATCTCATACTGTCATGTTTAATGTTAGTTGAAACAGACATTTTGTTAGAAGTTTGGTGAATGCAGATTAGGTGAAGAAGTCTGTGGTTTTTTAGGATGGTCATAATAAATTGAAGCAGTGACAGATTTTATCAGGCTGATCATATTAAACATCTGTCTGAGGTTGATTAATTTGTAAATTTTTGTTAATGCATCTTTAATGTGAATTATGAAACAACATTTGAATAGATTTTTGTTGTTGTTTTTTTTTTATTGTTGAGTATGTTTTTTTTTTTTTTTTTTTTTTGCTCAGCTTTCTGAATTCTTTTAAATATTACTTAATTACACTTAATATTGAGTTAATCTTGGTGTCACGAATTTTTTGAATTCCTTTGAAATTATATGGCAAAATTAGATTTTTTTAGCATGTTAGTTTTTCCCTATATTTTTTATCATAAATTCTAAAAAGAGCTTCTTGTTTATTCCAATTTACTTACAAAAATGCTCCTAGTGTTTGTAGTTGTTTATCATAAGCTTATTTAATATAAGAACTAACAATTTATAATGTTTGATTTTCCGGCTTTGTAACTGTAATGGAATTGTTTGTATTCTCTCAATAATTTTCTTTTGAGGGTGGGAGGGGGTTAAACAGGGTGTGATTTATTTACATAAAATTATAGTTTTATGCTTAAATTGCTAACTTTTTCCTTTGTTTTTCTCTATTTTCTTTAAAACATATCTCTTGTCCTGTCTTAGCTTTTCTAACATTCTGCCAAGGAGCTTGGCAAATGCTTTTTACTAGCCTGCCAAGATACATTTAATTGAAATTTTTTATTACCTCATTTTCTGACAATGAAATGTTTACCTATTTCATAACAATGTCTCTTTTAAGATTGACTATTCATTGGAAAGTGGGGCTATCCTACGCACCAAGGCAATGCCACCAGTGTCACACTTTGGTGTACAACGTCTTGTACATGTTCATAAGTTCATTAACCACTAAAAATGATAAAGTTAATTGACACATGTCTTTGGGGTTATTGACATATATCTTTTAGTTAAATGACATGTGTCTCTGTTTAATTCACAGATGTCTTTGAGTTAATTAACAGACTGATGTCTTTGAGTTAAGTCACAAAAGTCTTTGAGATCATAACTGGAGGTCTCTATCTAAGGCCAATAACTCTTGCATGGATATTGACTGAAATATTATTTTTTCTGATATTTCTTAATACTGAATGCGCAGGCTGGTCTTGATCCATGCTGGTCGCAAACGCATTACGTTGGTTTTGTCATGACATGGCTCATATGTTTTCTATTTTAGTAACCATAGTGATTGTAAGCCGTCTTGTATACAGGAAGGGCATGGATCTGCTGGCAGGTATTCTACCAGTGATCTGTAATAAACATCCAGATGTTAACTTTATTATAGGTCAGTTTATTTATCTTTTTTTTTTAAATTTTTTTAAGTGCTAGTTGTCATACTAAAAGGCCATTGCTAAATAGAGTTTAACAGAGTTTGACAGACAGGATTAAAACTTGGAATTCATACACAATAAACACTTCACGTGATCTCCCAATTTAAGCAGACAGGGTAGTTAAAACAATAATGCAAGATATATACAAAGCATAAAAAGGAATGCTTACAATAGGATGTTAGATATGACATAAATACATTAAATGATGTTAGGAAAATCACTTCTCTGCAATAAGTATCTATGCAAACTGCAATTTGTGAGGAAAACATATTTTTAGTTTTAGTTTATACAAAGTTATATCAGTATGATTATACTGGAAGCTATAAGCTTATTTTGAATACTTTTGAATCAATTTCTGGAGAAAAAAAAAACAGTACATGTACTGTAAGAAATAAGTCAAAAGTTCTTGCTTATGGAAACAACAGCTTGCCACTGACAGGGTTTGAACCCACACAGCCAGCAATCTTTAGATTATAAGTCTGATGCATTAACCACTTGGCCATGTTGCCTCTCTAATATTTTTCTTGGCTTTATCAAATTTGTTCTCATATATACATGTATTTATACAGGTGGTGATGGACCAAAAAGAACTCTTCTAGAAGAGATAAGGGAGAATAATCAGTTACAAGACAGAGTTACCTTTCTTGGACCATTAAAACATAGTGAAGTTAGAAATGTAAGAGCTACTTTAATAGCCATTTTGTGTTTTTGTTTAGATGTCTTCTTCTTTGTCTTCCTTAGCAACTTCTTTAGCAGCTTTTCAATTAACATAGGAAATTTGTATACTTGAAGTAGTGAGGTCTAAAACTTTATACTGTGGCTCATTTAAATGTCACAAAATGAGATGATACCCCACCCACTCAATTATATTGACAGACTGTGTCTTATTCCTTAACCAACTGTAACCAAAAGTGGCTAATTTTGGCCACCGGCATAAAATCAGGCCAACCTGCAAATCTGTATGGCCTGACAAAAGCTGTATACTGTTGGTAGCTTAACTTTTGTATTTTGAGCAACATTAAATCTTTTTAAACTTTGAATGGACTGTTTCAAATACAAAGCAGGGTGAAGAGTTAACTGTTTCGTAACAGTTTTCTAAGCAACTACTTATCACAGCCCCTTGATATTTGGCATACAGCATTGACACATGGTCCTATACCGTTGAATTCGATTTCAAGTCTGTCGCTCATCCACTTCCTGTTTATCAACTTAGTTAAATTTGTGACATTAATGGTCAAAGGTAGGAAATTTTCGTAACAGTTTTCTCAGCAACTACTTATCACAGCTTCTTGATATGTAGCATACAGCATTGCCTCAGGGTCCCATACTGTGGGATTCCATTTCAGGTCTGTCGCTCATCCACTTCCTGTTTACCGACTTAGTTAAATTTTTGACATTAATGGTCAATGGTAAACATTTTTGTAACATCACGGCCTCATGATATATGGTATACAAATGCAACCCGGCCTTTTCTGTCTTTGACCCATTTTTGTTAATATAAAATGAAATCCAAAAATTGAGCTATCAGCAGTATAGAGCCTGGTCAGACTGCACAGAAATGCAGGCTGGCCTTGGTCTATACTGGTGGCTAAGACTAATCACTTAAAAGATCCAGCAGGTCAAGTGTTTGACTGTATTTATATTTGAAACATTTATGTATATATTTTCAGGTATTGGTACAGGGTCATATTTTGATAAACACATCTCTTACAGAGGCTTTTTGTATAGCTATAGTAGAGGCTGCTTGTTGTGGGTAAGTTATTACATATTATTACATAACTTTTTTTTTCAGTAGACAATTAAAAAACATCACAATTTCAATAAGGGAGGTAACTTTAGATTATTCTGTCTATTTATTGTTTACAAGGTTTTAAACTTTGAAATTTTTTTGTTGTCTATGCGCTTTTGATTTGGAAGTGATTTTTCATTCAGAGCCAGGATGATACCAAAGTCCCTTGGTACTTATCTATTGTTTTTTTTCCTCTAAGCATAACTTTGATGTTGCAAAGCTACTACTTTCGAAATGTACTATTTAATTCGAAACCCTATTGTAATGTTGTTATTAAATCCAATAAGTCATAAATTTAAAATGTTTTATAGCAGCACGTCTCCAGATTCATGCTAATTTTCATGAAAATATTGAAAATGTTTTTTTTAAAGTAAAATATTGTGAAGTGAACAAAGAAAATAATTTACACATTGCAAACAGCACTTACAATCTATGTACAGTTCCAAAATAGAGGTCAAAATATGAAAAAAAAATGAAAAAAAATAGCCCTTACTGTGTTAGTCACACAGTAGGAATACCGTTCAATATCAGGCATTAATTTCACTTAACATGTAAATTATTACTCAAATTCAGAATCTTATCACTATTGTTAAAATTTTAGTACATTTTTTTCAGATTTGATTTTCTTAAAATGATTTTGCTTATCTGAAGGCATGCAGTTTTAACCATATTGTGTCTTTGTTACGTAATTCACATGAGTAGTTATAGAATAAAAGGTTCCATAATGATATAATTAACTGCTATTTCTAGTAGTGTTATCAATATTACATTCACGTGACACATACTTTGTCAGAAAGTTAAAAACATCATTCTTTAAAATGTAGAACGTTGATATAATTTTTATTTTAGATAGAAATAAAAGATTGAAATACATGTATATAAACAAGTCCATTTAGTGTATTTATTTTTTAAGGAATAAGGATGCATCTTCAGGTTTGAATATTTTAAATATTTTTCCTGAAAAACATAAATGGTTTGGTCCATATTGAAATATGGACAAGTACACTTCAGATATTAAGCATGGTAATGATTTAAATGTAAGCATGTAGTCAAATTTGATAAAGTGAGTTTTTTTATTGTTTTATATAAAAATGTTTATATTGATGACAGATTTTTCACTATTTACTAGGTTACAGGTTGTTAGTACAAGAGTGGGTGGGGTACCGGAAGTTCTACCTCCAGAGATGATAAAACTGGCAGAACCTAGTGTCAAAGGTCAGTTCTTATAATATCTTAATTATTTGTGCCACGTCACGACAAAACCAACATAGTGCGTTTGCAACCAGCATGGATCCAGACCAGCCTGCACATCCATGCAGTCTGATCAGGATTCATGCTGTACGCTATCAGTTTCTCTACTTGTAATAGAGTTGGTAAGCGAACTGCATGGATCCTGATCAGACTGCGCGGATGCCCAGGCTGGTCTGGATCCATGCTGGTCGCAAATGCACTATGTTGGTTTTGTAGTGACACGGCTCATTTATCTTTCAAGATTTTACTTCAGATGACCATAGAGTTAAAATTTGAAATTTACATTGAGACAGGAATAATACTCTGTTTGGTAAAACTGGCAGAGTCCAGTGTTGTCAACAAAATTTGAGTGAATATAAATCATTGTAAATCTTTTGATTTCGGGGCAAGAAAATTGTCTTTATCCTTTACACTTATAAAAGGGAAGCACTGGCCTAGTGCTTAAGGTGTCTGCCATTCAACCCAGTGACCATGGGTAAGAGCCCTTCTTTGAAGCATGACCATGTTTCTTCATTTGACACTAGTACTGGTCCGGGAGTCGGACTTGAAAGTGAATAATATAAGTTGCAAGAATTTATCTTGCTATCAAGCTAAAATGACTATGTTTTAACTAATTAATAACAGTGTATTAATGTGAAGCAGAAAAATGTTCATTAACAAATAAATTGTACACTTAAACGTATTTGTGCAAGGTAAAGAAAGTTGAAATATATTTATTTATTCTCATTTATTTAAGCACTTGTATCAGCATTAGAGGATGCTATCTCAGATCAGAGAAATGGTAAAGTAATAGACCCATACGAGGCTCATGAGCGTATAAAGAACATGTATACATGGCCTAATGTTGCACGTAGAACGGAAGTTGTTTATGACATGGTTCATAACTTACCTGACCCAGATATGAGTACAAGAATTAAAAGGTGAGTAAAGTGAGGGAAGGTGTGCAGATTTTTTTCTGGCTAACATTTTTATCTTGTGTATTATTATAGGCGTTAAAATATGATTTTTTTTTCAAAACAGCTGAGATTAAGTTTTTTATATATATCATAAGTATACGTCCTGGGATTGACAAATTTATCATTTTATTGTACCTTTATGGTACTTATGGACATGGAAATTTGAATTTATAAATTTTGATTATGAAAATTTGTATGTAGTCTGTATTTTTTTTCATCTCTGTAATGCCCTTGTACTAGTTTTTTTCAAAGTCAGTAAATTAATGCATGACATTTACATGAAGGAAAAACAACAGATTTACCCATTTTAAGCTTCTCTGTTTTGAAGAAAAAGTCAAGCTATTATGATTGCTGGGTCATTGTTGTTGTTGTCGTGCAAAAACATTACTCAAACAATTTTAAAGGTTTCAATATTAAACTTGGAATGCTCGTTAACTAAGATAAGGCATAGTAGTTTGGCATGGGGCATCATTCTGAAAGCTATATTTTTGAGTTATGCCCCTTTTTTTTAAACACATGAGCTTTAGTTAATACTGCTTGTGGTGCTCTTGTTTACATCAGGGTCTTTCAAATAATATTTGAAAGACCCTGTTGACATAGTATAATGAAATATATCAAATTTTTACTCTTGAGTTGATATAGTATATATATATATATGTATATCTCCCTAATAAAATGCTGTATTTTAATGATTAGCTCAGGTTTTATCCAAGATGACATTCTAATAACATAGTGCAGCATTTAATAATAAAAGAGCTTAACTCTTAGCCTGCTGGAATGAAAAGCAGATAGCGTAAAGCCAGGACATCCTGCACTTTCATGCATTATGACAAGGGTCTTTTTTGTTGGCTGAATATAGATATCCTCCAGAATTACATGTATCATAAACATTCAACTGATAAAAATAAACTGGGGCAGTCTTTTATATTTTAGGCAGTAATGTTGTAATGTTGTATTGTAAACATTTTTCATTATAAACTATTGGTCATTGACTATTTTTATGTTGTTTTTTTGTTTTTGTTTTTTTTCTTTTAATATATAATTGTAGCCAGATAATGTCACGTTAACTTTAAATTTTCATCTTGATATCCCCAAATATGAAAATTGACAGTTCCAAAAATGGAAGCTGTTGTAACAAGTACATGTATATTAAAGAAATGCAGTAGATTGGTTTAAACATATTTATTCAACAAAACATTTAACGTCTGAGCCCGTGTGAACAATATTCGCTCACCAGAGCCAAAGGCACAGGGTGAGCTATTAGAATCAAAGGGGGATACTCTGGCGTCCGCTGTCATGCGTCAACAATCGTCTTCTCTGAAACTACTGGGCAGATTTACTTCAAATTTGGTCTGTAGCATCCTTGTGACAGTCACACTTGAATTTGCTCATGTCATTTCAATTGGCCCCTTTTAGGGGTCAACAGAGCTAAAAATAGAAAAAACCTTTAAACATCTTCTACTACAGAACTAATTGATGGATGGTCACCAAACTTTGTCTGTAGCATTCTTGGGTAGTCTTTTATCAAGTTTGCTCATATTAATTTGATTGGCCCCTTTAACCCTTTCTCTGCCATAGGGACGGCTTAAGCCGTCCCTGTTATTTTCGGCGTATTTGCCATATGGACGGCTTTAGCCGTTTCTATCATAATCATAATAATAATAATAAATTAATAATAATAAAAAAAATAATAATAAATATAAAGAAAATTATACCATCAACAATAATTATTATTATACTAGCATATTTGGAAACATATATAATTATTATAATGCTAATAACAAATAATAATAATAATGATATTAGTTAATAATATAGTAATTTTTAGAAAACCCTCTGGCAAATAGGTGATCAATAAAACAATAACCCTCTGGCAGCGAAAGGGTTAAGGGTCTCTAGGGCTAAAACTAATGGATGGATGATCACCAAACTTTGTCTTTATCATTCTTGGGTAGTCTTTTATCAAGTTTTCTCATATTAATTTGATTGTTCCTTTTTAGGGGCCGCTAAAGCTAAAAAAAGAAATACCTTTAAACATCTATATCTTTAGAACTAAGTGATGGATGATCACCAAACTTTGTCTGTAGCATTCTTGGGTAGTCTTTTATCAAATTTGCTCATGTTAATTTCATTGGCCCCTTTAAGGGGTCTCTAGGGCTAGAACTAGAAAAACCTTTAAACGTCTTCTTCTATAGAACTAATTGATGGATGATCATCAAACTTTGACTGTAGCATTTTTGGGTAGTATTATATCAAGTTTGCTAATATTAATGTGATTGGCCCCTTTTAGGGGCAGCTAAAGCTAAAAATAGAAATACCTTTAAACATCTATTTCTACAGAACTAATGGATGGATGATCACCAAACTTTGTCTGTAGCATTCTTAGGTATGCTTTTATCAAGTTTGCTCATATTAATTTAATTGTCCCCTTTTAGGGGCCACTAAAGCCAAAAATAGAAAAACCTTTGAATATCATTTCCTACTGAAATAATTGATAGATGATCACCAAACTTTGTAGCATTATTAGGTAGTCTTTTATCATGTTTGCTCATATTAATTTGATTGACTCAAATTAAATATCAGAAAATATTGACAATGGATAATTTCCAACACTGAAAAGCAGTTGTTTCTGGTGAGCGACTCAGGGCCATCATGGCCCTCTTGTTTACAAAGTGCATTTTTAGATTGGGCACTCCCTTTAGTATTTGATAGTTACAGAGATATTGTTATAACAGTTTTTTCTACAATATTAATTATTCAGATATTATCAATGTGGTCCACTAGCAGGGAAGTTGTTTGTTATAGCAATGGTTCTAGATTTATTCTTTCTCTTCATTCTCAAGATATTTCAACCAGAAAATGTAAGTTGTTTAGTGTTCCTTTCTTATAATGATAATACGTATTTTCCTGTAGTAAACTTTTATTAATTTTGCGGGAAAACAATGAAAGCTGTATATTTAAAATCAGTCACTTGCTAGTCCAATAGTAACATTATTGTGAAAGGTAGTCTGATTTAAACCAACAGTCATTGGGCTATAGGCAGACAGTTTACCTTCAGGTTGTTGCTCTACATTGGTTCAACACATATTATGTCCATTTGTGCTCAAATTTTGGGGATGAAAATTAAATTATTCTATGTGAAGAAAGAAGTCAGATGTTTATATATGTGTATATACATAGCCTTATGATAGGCTTATCTGTAATATCCATATGTAACAATAAAATTAAATCAGCCAAATATATACGGTGTGTTGAAGGGCCAATGACGTACATGCTAGCCTCAGTTTACAATAGTTTGTCTAAAGCCTTTGTAGAGATTTTAGAAGAAAGACCTTTTGTACCAGTCTTACATGAGTTTAATAATAGTTTAATGTATATTGTGTTCATGAGAAATTTACACAATCTAACATCATTATCTTAAGAATAAATATAATGTACAAACAAAAAAGGTTGGACCAAAAGTTACACCAACATTATCTAGGGTGTTCCCATAAACGTCTCCTAACTGGCATGGATGGATAATGCCTTTCAGACCTATGGAACTTTTCTTTGAGTCTAAAGAGAGTTGCAAACTCATTGTTTAGATAAGGTTACCTAGCTCAAAATGGAAAACTGTTACATGGTGTTATATGATATTTTAAACATCTAATACATACTGTATACATGTTGTCCAAAAAAATCATATTAAATACTTATTGTACTGTAAAAACACAGTTCTGTCAAAATGTCAAAAAATGATGGTGTAAAATAAAGTTACTTAATGAAGTAAAGAGGTTATTATACTAGTACACTGATGAGAACAATACTGATTCTATTGGACTCATACGCAGCTGCAAAACAAATAACAGGCTTGTACATATCCAATATAGGTTTATAAGGTATGTACTCATCCAATAGAATTCAGTATTGAACTCAACAATGTATAATCACCTCATTATATCTAAAAATGGAATCTAACAATGCATATTTATTTCTTTTGAAACATAGATTGTTTTATATTTTACAGACGATTGAAGCTTGTCCAGATTTTTCAGCAGCTTTTAGAAAACCAACAGTTATACGTCCAAATAGCCCTAGAAAATCTCAACCTGAAAATAAAAGGCATAGAGGGAAATTAAAATCAACTTAGTAATAGAATCTTTCAATTCTCATAGATATATTTATTTTTTCTCATATGTAACTTATTAAGAAATAAAAAAAAATATGAAATTATGTTTATTGAGTTCAGTTGTTTTTTGTGTTTTCTTGACATTTGTTTTTAGATAATTTAAAGTTAAATTTTTTTTAGAAATTGCCATATCAGACATTTTAGTTTCTCGAAATAAATATGTGTTCAAATAACGAAGCCATGACGGTGATTTGCGGTTACCATAATGTGAAGTATATTTGTTTTGTAATCCAGGGGTCGTTGGTATTTGAATGTTGCCGATTTGCCATAACAACAGTTAATATTTTCATAAATTGCTGACCTATGTGTTTCATATATAAATGGGTCACTGATATAGTAGGTAAATTACTTAGTAACCTAGATTTAAACAAAGAGGCAGTTTGCTTGGGTTCAAAGCTCATACTAACATAAATCTAGGTACTCTAGTCGAATTTAGAAATTTACGTACATTGAGTGTGTCTGAAATACATGCACTGATGTCTCCAGTCTAATAACATACAGTTACGGTCCCTTTGTACATGCATATACTGTTTTCTTACTTCATTATCTAGTAAAATATATATGAAATATGACATATGTTCGCTTCTCTAGTATAGTTTAAACTTATTCTATTGCTACAAATACATGTAAAAAAAAACTATCAATATGCACGTAGAATAAAAGCTGCCGCCTGAACTAAAGCTAGGCAACCTGAACTAAAGAACTAATCATGGACGGACACCTTGGGTCTTCATCTGCCAATAAAACTGGAAAGTCGTCGCATGACCGGGGACTTTAATAACCCAACAAAAAAGAGCTAAAGTAATTTTGACTTTATAACATCAATAAGTTCAAAACATTCTTAAATAAAACTTATTGTCTTTTGTCATCTTTATTGTGCGAACGTGTAAATGATGACAATGGACTTAAAGACTCGTTTGATCTTTGTCTCATTCATAGAAAAAACATCAACAGCTGCTGCATTGTGATTGATTCGAACGAACTAATGTAAACAATAACATCAAAGAACTGTTTTACTATTTATGACAATTTGTCATGCTTATGTGTATTAATAAAGTAGTCCGTGATATCTATATTCCTACGTCAACATTATAAAATCAGGCCGGCCTGCACATCTAGAATCTGTGGAACTGTCGTCTGCATCTTTTTAAAGACAGGCTAGCCTACACATACATGTATATATCCTACCAGGTTCAATAATGTATTTTTTATGTGAGGAAGCTATCCAGCTAGCTTACGGAACGTCGGTAGTTCTACTCAGGTGCCCGTTCGTGCCTGAAATAATGCACGGAAGGGCACCTGAGGTGTTCCTCCACCAGTAAAGCTGGAACGTCGCCGTATGACCTATACTGTGTCGGTGCGACGTAAAATCCAATCAAACAAACAAAACTAAGTTTTGTATTCAAGCCCTTGAAAATGTCAATGGACTGTTCCAGATTCAAAACAGGACGAATGTATTATGCAAATTTAGTGGCGGAAAGGTCAAGTAGGGAATCACGTGCTGTATGATTTGCATTTTGCTTTATTTCAAAATAAATTGTGATTTAAATCAACATGACCTTTTCTCTCTTTGATCCTCCTTTTCCGTACAGAGACATTTCTGCGAATTTTCTATTACTTGAAATGTCAGTTTTGCAAACTGTTAACATTAACCTAGAATAATTTCTGTAGCACTGAAACCGTTGTGCTTTTCGAAAATTATTTCTTTAATATGAATTATATGATCTGTTGAAAATGTTTGTAAAGTGCAGATATCCAGCTTTCTAAGAAAAGCTAAGAATAGATGAAACAATACCGCCGTACACACTTCACATTGCTACCTAAGCCAATCAGAATGGAGATTTTCATATCACGTGATAACAAAATGAACCACAAAATACCTAAAAAGGTTGCGCCAACGGGGCACGCCATCCGTGCTAGCCGGTATAGCTCAGTCGGCTTGAATCTCGACATGATGGTTCGATTCCTGGGCTGGCCAACTATATTAATAAAACAGCCTGTTAGATGAGACTGTGTATACATATAAGTGCTTTTAAACACTTGGCATGCTGGAGAACTAGGAGAGGCTTCTGGAATTGGAGCATCTTTATGTATCTTGCACTATTGCCTAATTCCAAAATGATTAATACTCTTTTGGAGGACTCGTCATGTTTTTGTCGAGTTACCTGTATAAAGTACGAAGCTTGAAACCAGTATGTAGGCTATTGTGGGGTAAACAATATTCGGAATATTTCTCTTAAAAATTCTTGTTCACGAAAAAAAATATTTTTCGAATACCCAAATGAACGGCGATTCTTAACAGTTTTGGAAATGCTTAGCATGCACTTGCGTGCAGTTTGGCTATTCAAATTATATACGGTCTATAACTATTTTGTATAATGATACTCTTCAAATTTAAGGCTGGGCAAATCTATTACATTTAAAAGAGGATAAGTAATAAAGTGTAATGTATGTATAATAATGGTATATGTGGAAGTTCTATTTTACGATAGGAACATCTGTCACATATTAATAATATTAGTCATAGTGTCACGTGGCCAATAATGAACGCTGTAGACAAATTAATGTTGTGATTACATGGGTTATTCTAAAATTATATCCGTAATCTTTCTGATAATCTGATATGTATAATTTAAAGAACATGGCGAAATAAGGGACTGTGTGACCATTTACAAGTTGAACGAGTGCTGTAGTCTTTACCAAGTCAGCAAGTACTGTTTATACCTTGTTGTGACTGGCAAACCTTTATGTTGTTTCCATGCCCATTTATTGTATAGATTCTTACTAACTCACCACGATAATTATATCTTTAAAGCTATTAACCCGTATATGATGGCTTGTACTTTTCTGACTCATAGGCAAATCCTTATTGCCCTCGAAGTGTACCAAAGTTCTGTCAAAATAACAAATATTTGGTTGTGTGATCAGGATCCATGCTGTTCGCTTACAGACCCTATATATAACAAGTAGAGAAACTGATAGCGAACAGCATGGATCCTGATCAGACTGCGCGGATGCGCAAGCTGGTCTGGACCCATGCTGGTCGCAAACCCATTATGTTGGTTTTGTCGTGACGCGGCTCATTTTTTTAGCTATCATAAAGGAAGTTTGCTGTAGATCTATATAAGTTCGTTATAAAGATTCTTGGCATGTTGGCTTGCATAGCGGCTCGGGATATATACGCAAACCACAATCTATATGGGGCCATACAACCTGTCAAAATCTTAGAATAAGTAATATATTCTATTTTAGGATACAAAATGGCCGCTAGAATCGTGGATTCAACAGGGTATAATCACAGGTGCTTGAAACAAACTTTTTAAAGTTTTATATGGGCTATATACTATAATAAGATATCTTTATATACATATATAGGCCGATTATGAAAAATATTTGATTATGTGACTAGCGCCTGTGGGTATAATTCAAACTGTATGATGATGAGGAAGGTAGTCGGCACAGAATTAGTTACTGAACCGATACGGGATATATGGTTCTGTTGGAAAACCATATCAGGGCGAGTTCGAACCTGTATGTGTAAACGAACTGTTTGCTTGATTAGTTACTAGCCATTTTGCACGCGCACGTTTATGTTATACAATGTACTGTAACAGCCAAAAGCTGTGTTCTGTCGGAATCCAACATACAATACAAGAATTTTTGTTAAGGTCATACGGCGGTCCTCCATCTTTATAGGTGGTGAAAGACTCCAAGATAAACTCGTTAATTAAGGTACACAGGCACCTGGAAATTCTTTAAGCTACCGTGATATAGATATTAAGTGCCTTAATTGGAATTATTATCGCCCTATATGACTAAATATATTTGCAAATGCAGCGTGACGGGGTTATATAAGTTTTATATCTTTTTAATTTTGCATGACCTAAAAAGTATAAAATGTACAGAAATTCATACGCCTGCCAGCTGTCGTAGTTTATATTACAATATATTGATTTTGTAAGAGTTTTAATCAACATTTATCTATGTAGGTATAGATGGATGTTTGACGTTAACATTAATTGAACGGCCGTCTTTGTTAGGTATACAACATGTTGTGACTTGTGATTAAAATAAACAACAAGGTAACTAGAACTTAATTATTTGCATGGTTTACTGTATTCAAATAATTTGATTATTTTTTGTTTTTTGAACCGGAAGGACTATATTTATACAAGCTGTTATATTTCAGTTGTGACATCGTTATTAAAGGTACAATTGTATGAAAATGAGTATATTATTAGATGCATAAAAATTAATGAATGGACAATCATTATACAGTATAACATGTGCATGTCAACGCCCGTTGAGACTCAAAAATGGGGGTTGACGTTCTGAAGTCTTACATATGGCATAGTTGTTGTAAAGAGGTTAAAATTGTACAGATGGTCGCTATGCAGAGGTTATACTGTATAAAACCTTTACATGTATTAGATTTTGTTTTTCTAGTGTTGTATCTATTAGAAAGTTACCCAAAATGAAGTATTTTGAAGGGAATTCAAAGTACTACTCTTTACATTTTGTTGTTTAATGCCAGGTCATTCCACATTTAGCGCTACTTTCTTAACATGAATAGCATCTCACATATTCTAAATACACTTTTAAGATATTATGAAGCATATGATTTCCTTTTCTTTAAGTAGTCATTACTGAAACTTAATGAGTTCGTTGAGATAAAACTTGGGGATAAATTCGTTGTCCGAAGATATTCGCTTTTAGAATTAATAATCTTATATTTCTTATAAATATTCTTAAAACGATTCATTGCATTTTTTTCATTATCCCTCATGTACAGACTCAATCAAATCGGATCTGCAATTTTCATGAAATTTTGTTGTGACTAATGCTTCCAACGGATCTCTCTTTTTCCAGATTTTTAAAACTAATTCCATAAAAAAATACAAACCTATGATGTTACAATTTCAGTTGATTATGAATAATTAATGTCTGTTTTTAAATTTATT